GTAACATGCACCCGCGTGTAACCAGTCCGGCCGCGATCGTGGCTTTATTTTGGCTTTATTTCTCGGCTGGAAGAGCTACCGTCGAAATTGCATAGGAAAAAATCTCCTGAAGTTGAGCCGCGGCGTTCTGTGCCAAACAAAAGTTAGCAGTCCACCTGCTCACTGCAAACTCGCTACTGCCTGTCGGGCCAGGAAGAAGTCTGACGCGATCAATGCGCGCACCTGCAAATGCGATGAATGGATTTCTGGCCTATCGTTTGCCTTCTTTCTAGTCGCGTAGATTTCGTCATTAATCATGATATGGTTGTTACTGGCTGCATAGTAGTCGGCTGATTTATGCATAGCAGGTTGTACTTTGGCTATTAATCAATAATACAGCTCTAAGTCAGTGTGGTGGCGGTATCTGGACTGAATAGAATTAGCTACAAGCGGGGCTGCTGACCGATTCGTCTTACTTCATGTTAAACTGTGAAAAAATAGACTCGATATGCGCAGCCCGGCGCGGCCGTCATGCTGTCTAGAAACTAATGCGTGGACTGTCAAAGATTTTAGATTCGCATTGCCTTCAGCCACATGAAATTGATTTTTTGAAAGTCGTGTTTCATGCCAGGCATTGGCATGACACCTGCTTGAAAGCTGGATTTTTATTAGCATCGTTACCGTGACTTTGCCTCCTAATTTGATCAAAATGAAAAGATTAAATGTTCAAGCTTCTGGATGGTTAAAAATAGGTTGAAACTCGGTTCAGGTCTTGAAACCCGGCGAAGCAAGACACGGAACTCATTCCGACGGAGGAAAAAGGCGGACGCGTCTTGTTCCAAGTATGAGTCGATGTGTGCCTGCAGACGGTCACGCGCGCTTGTGTGCGAACCATGCCTCCGCTCGTCTTGCTTTTGTTGTTTTAAAGATTTGTGTCAGATTTCAGCGGTCCTAGCAGATGAAGGCGTGAAGCCACTGCAGAGTGTAGGCTGGAATACCGACTACAAAGGGATCAGAGACTTGCTTAATGAGCCTGGACATTGTCCCACCCACAGGAGAGTCCGTGATCGCCCGGGCGGGATTCGATGACACCTTTGCCGAAACAGATCCAGATTAAATCACGGCGGGTCATAAACAAATAAGGATCGGCCTATTTAAGCTACGTACTGTGTAGCTCTATGTTTTGGCCAGCATTCACCCCCCCCCCAAAAAAAAATGCGAATTTTACATCACTTTGGTCACAGTTTCTATAACTGGGAATCCTTGCAAAGCAGCGATGTCGTCGGCAAAGTTATCTTGCCTGAATGAGATGATAAACTATCCATTTTTATTTATTACTTCTCGCGGACTAGTGCACAAATTCTGCGCATCATTGGACATGCACCTGCTAAATAAGCATGAAAGGTGGACTTTGCATTATGCAACGTAGCCATCAATCATGCAATCAATCGGTAGCAGTAGGTGAAGGCTTCTGGTTCTGTGAACCTACTCGGTCATGTCATCTTCGCGATCATAACGGACAGGCTCACATGTTCCGCATTGCTTACCCCATACTGCTTAAGGTGTCGCACTGTTCTGAGGGGTGGAACGCTTCAAAGCAGCCTGCGATGCATATGAAGGAGGCCTTTGCAGACGTGGATTACGGTGCTGCGATAGGCATGATGTAGAACAGCTCTATACTTGTACCTGGGACGTTTTGTGTCGTTTTTCATTTGCGTTACGTAGCAAACGTAGCGTTTGCTATGTAACGCAGACATTCTCAAATTTCCTGTATGCTGAATGATCCACAAAGTTTAACAAAAATGTGTGCAAACAAATAATATGGAAAGTATTCGGAACATCTTAGACAGAAGTGCCGCTAAGCGGCGGCAGATTCACAGTGCATGAGTTTTGATGGACCGTTTTGGCTGGGGTTGTTTCGGGCTGTCAGTCACCCCACACACGACAGCGACTCATGAACTGATCCTGCACGTCTGTTTCCCCAAACTGCCGACATGGACTGCCGAGTCGGGCCGGCCCCGCGCTCTGTCCGCCCCTCAGCCCCTCTCTCCCCCCCCCCCCCCCCGGTCCTCAGACGCATTCAACTGTCGCTGAGTCTTCATTTGTCGGGAACGCGTGGAGGCGTTGCAGTCCGCACTCCTGTGAGGTGTGCTTCGCCACCATCGGGCGGCGCTATTTTTGTTAGCTCGGCGGACGGGGATTTATAGCCGCACGATGCTGGGCGGCAGCAGCTGTGAAAATGTATACTGCCGAGGGTGACATCTGTCCGCCGCCGGTCTATCTTCTCTGTCCCTTGCCCTGCATCCCGCATGCCGCGTCCCTTCTGCGTGCAGTGTCCTATTCTCTGCGTTTTGCGTGTCATGCCCCGTTCCCTGCTATCCGTGTTCTTTGCCCATTTTTGACCTCACGTGTCACGCCATATATCATATCCTCTATGCCTTGCCTCATTTCCGGCTTTATGTGCCCGCTGTCCCACGCATGATGGTCTGTTTGTAACCTGTGTCCTGGTTCCTCTATGGCGTATCCCCGCGGCCGGCGCGGTTGCCCGGTCCCTCAGAGGCCACCGCCGCCCCCCTCCCCCTCCCCGCCGTCCCATGTCTGGTGGTCTGTATACCGGCGTATCCTCGCGGTCGGCGCGGTTACCCGGTCCCCCAGAGGCCACCGCCGCCCCTCTTCCCTTCCCCCTGTCCCATGTCTGGTGGTCTGTATACCGGCGTATCCTCGCGGTCGGCGCGGTTACCCGGTCCCCCAGAGGCCACCGCCGCCCCTCTTCCCTTCCCCCTGTCCCATGTCTGATGGTCTGTATTCCGGCGTATCCCCGCGGCCGGCGCGGTTACCCGGTCCCCCAGAGGCCACCGCCGCCCCCTCCCGTGGCCGTTCAGGTGCGTCGTCACGAGCCGCGGAGGGGAGCGCTTTGTGCCGGCTGCACCGGCCGGTCCGGCCGCGATTGTTGCCCTCCCAGGGCGACCCCTGTGACCTCGGCCCCTGCTGAGCTGCGCCGTCACGGCCGGTGCAGGGGCGGCTTTGTGCGGGGGCCGGCCGACCCACGCCACCCGACGCCGTCTGTTTTTGTGACGCCCCTGTGAATACCCTGAAACGGACATCACTCTTTCCCGGCCGGAAACGTGTCAGTGGCGCAGAATTGAATCTTAAACCAATTTCAAGGAACCTTTTTGTGACCGCCGGGCGGAAAGCTCTAATTTTGCTGGGGGTCTCAGCCTATTGCGTGGAGCGGCAAATGTGGAGAAGATAGTGATTCGGTTTCTTCGCATCGTTTCCCATCTCGTTTTGGGCTTGAAAAACATGGATAGTCAAAACGCTCCAGTTGGTTTCGCCCTTTCCTCACCTTAGCGGATCAGGAAATGACCCCAACGGCCGTTACGTGCTCACATTCGAGGAACAAGTTTTGTTCTTGTAGTGTCGGTCGCGGTCTTAACAATTAAAGAACAGTGAATGCCCATGATGATGCGAATAGCTTGGCTCACACGTGCTGTAGGCTGGCGCCGGGGATCCCGCTCATGGTGTCTGATTACGATCGCAACACAGGTCGTCTAAGCAATCGGCAAGCCACGTCATGACTGTGTGATTCTGCATTTCTAGGCGGTTTGTTGCGATGGTATGCTCCCGCAGGGTCATTCCTTCCGAGCGGCTGTTTTTGAGTGTATGGTTGGCTTTTGAATAGATGCTGAATATATGACCTCACACCAGTTATCGCTCGCGGCTAGGGGTTAAGCCTTCTTCTACTCCACGACAAAAATGGGTATCACACAGCCCTCTCATTGAGCGCACTGCAGCGTTAAATCTCGTTTCACCATGCATACATGCTCCGTTTTCGGCGCTTGACAACTCATGCACGGAGCTCGTCTTAAGTTTCGTTGACGAGTCCACCGTTTATGCGATTGACATTTGGAGTGCTGGTTGGCTAATGTAACGGCATAATTTCCGGCAACCAAACGCGCTATTTTGAACGCAGCATGCACTCTTTTTGCCTCAGGGGAAATATGGCAGACCGCTGCTCAATATGAAATTCAGTGGCAATCGTGCAATTCAGTAATTGAATTTTGTCATACATCAGCCTGGCACTGACGGTGTTTTATCGCCTTGGTACTGTCCTTCCTGCCCGACATGATATGCGGTGGGAGATGTATGGAACGATGGCAATCAGGTTGTGGCGTATTTATACAATTCATTGTAGGTGATGTTGTTTGTCTGTTGTGATTTGACGGCTGCAGCCTCTGGTATGCCCCTGTGTGGTATAGTCTGCTGGCAGCGGCCTCTGACATGCCCCCTTCCCCCTGTCTGGCGTGGTGCACTGGCAGTAGCCTGTGACACGTCCCCCTGTCTAGCGTTATCTGCCGACAGCGGCTTCTGACATGCCCCCTCCCTGTCTTGTGTGGTTTGCCGGCAGTAGCCTGTGACATGTCCCCCTGTCTAGCGTCGTCTGCCGACAGCGGCCTCTGACATGCCCCCTTCCCCCTGTCTGGCGTGGTGCACTGGCAGTAGCCTGTGACACGTCCCCCTGTCTAGCGTTGTCTGCCGACAGCGGCTTCTGACATGCCCCCCTCCCTGTCTTGTGTGGTCTGCCGGCAGTAGCCTGTGACATGTCCCCCTGTCTAGCGTCGTCTGCCGACAGCGGCCTCTGACATGCCCCCTTCCCCCTGTCTGGCGTGGTGCACTGGCAGTAGCCTGTGACACGTCCCCCTGTCTAGCGTTGTCTGCCGACAGCGGCTTCTGACATGCCCCCCTCCCTGTCTTGTGTGGTCTGCCGGCAGTAGCCTGTGACACGTCCCCCTGTCTAGCGTTATCTGCCGACAGCGGCTTCTGACATGCCCCCCTCCCTGTCTTGTGTGGTCTGCCGGCAGTAGCCTGTGACATGTCCCCCTGTCTAGCGTCGTCTGCCGACAGCGGCCTCTGACATGCCCCCTCCCTGTCTTGTGTGGTCTGCCGGCAGTAGCTGGTGACATGTCCCCTGTCTAGCCCCGGGCAGTTGTCTGTAATGGCACACTGGTGTGTGGTTTCAGGCGACACGGACGGCGTGGTCCGCTCCGGCCGCGGCAACAGCCTGCGCCTGCAGCAGAGCGCCGCTAAGAGTCTGACGATCGAGGCCTACTCCAGCCAGGCCCGAGCCGCAGTCATGGCCGACGGCGCAACGGTAGGTCCCTGCGCTCCGGGTCAGGTCCGTGCACGGCGCCGCGGTACGTCCCTGTGCTCGGAGCCCGGTCCGTGCGCGGCGCCGCGGTACGTCCCGGCGCTCGGAGCCCGGTCCGTGGCGTCGTAGTACGTCCCTGCGCTCCGAGCCCGGTCCGTGCGCCGACATGTTTCCCCAACGTTTGCACAGCGCCGTTCCCTATACCCCGGTACTCAGGAACGCCTAGCTAACTTACATCCGCGGGCGTTTGTAAGCCCCGAGAAAACTGACTTCTTGGACTCCACCCGCGTGTAGCTGCATAATCCACGTCCCTCCAAGTCCACGTCAAATGAATGACAGGGAGGCTACCCAGATGGCCCAGCAGCAAGCGGTTCGGTTTTGTAGACATGGCATGCAATAACTAACCCCGCGTGTGCAAACATTAAACCTAATTCGTCACATGCCATGAAGTTTAACTCCTCGCAACGATTCGACGTCCGTGTTTGCGAAGATGACATCATTTGACTTTCGGTGCACACAAGAGCGTGGTCACGAAGGGACCAGAACAAAAATATTTAGCCTCTGACGGCACTCATCCCATCATGTCTAAGTACACTTCACGCCCCCGCATCTCTATAGGTTTTGACGCCAACTGTGCATATTGACGCATCTTGCCAACTTATGTTGATATGGACATCCCAGGCAGACTCCTCGATTTAAAAAATCCCTGACAGCACTGCGCTATGAGCTTCCTTGACTCAGCAGTTTCTGGCGGGACATGCACGCGCCTTTCGCTCCCCGTCAGTCACTGGGTTTGATCATTGGGCGCTCTCTTAGCCATGAACCGCATTATATATGTGCCATGTCGCGTTGTCGCTTCCCGGCTGTGGAAGAGGCATCTTCCCCGGCCTTTCGTCCGAGCGTAGACGACTTGTCTACCGCTCTTTCCCGGACCGTGGAGGCCTGTGCTGCCGCCCGGCCCGCTACTGGTGTCTTGTCATTCTTCCCCGGACTGTGGACGGGCTGGGCCGCCGCCCAGCCCGCCTCCAGTGTCGTGCCGTTCTTCCTGGGGACCGTGGACGGCCAGCGCCGCCGCCCAGCCCGCCTCCAGTGTCTTGCCGTTCTTCCCGGGGACTGTGGACGGGCTGCACCGCCGCCCAGCCCGCCGCTGGGCTTCCGAAACGGTCCACGTCACGTCGTTCTCAGCGCCGCCGCCAGGCCGCCGCTGGGCTTCCGCGACGGTCCACGTCACGTCGTTCCCAGCGCCGCCGCCAGGCCGCCGCTGGGCTTCCGAGACGGTCCACGTCACGTCGTTCCCAGCGCCGCCGCCAGGCCACCGCTGGGCTTCCGAGACGGTCCGCGTCACGTCGTTCCCAGCGCCGCCGCTGTGATCACGTCTCCGGAAATTGTGGGCGCCGACCGCGGCTGGGCGTGTTTACACACGGGACGCGCGGGCGGCGCCGCTCGGCGAAGCGGGGCGCGCGGCACTGCCTCTGAGGCCCGCTCCCGCTGGCTCGCCGGACTCCGCGACTCACGGCCGTCGGCCTGCGGACTTGGGAGTCAGCACTCTGTCTTCTCCCAGGTCTCTGTTGGATGGTATGGCACGGGTGCTTTTGCTACCTCATTGCAACGTACGATTTTTTTCATCAGTGTGTGTGCGTCGCTTAACGCTATGAAAGAGGTACGAATACACTGTCTTCGGCTCTGCTCGGCACCCCACCTACGCGCTGGCTTTGACTATCATCAACCATGGTTGTCTGAACCCTGCCTCTGAGCTACACGATGCGCACCTCCGCCGCTGTTGCAGTCCCCTGCTGCTCAAGCATGGCCGATATGGGTATAGTATACCGAGTACGGGGGCACTGACGGACTTATCAGTGCCCAACTTCCAGCTTTGGAGGCGCCAGCTGACTCCCTTCAACATCAGCCAAAATTGTTCGAACTGAGCTGTTGCTATGATAGGCTGCTAGTTATGATGAGATATCATGGGAGTTTGTGCGGAGATCCGACCATTCCTGGCGCAGTGTTGTCGTCACGTTTTCTTTCTCGATTGTTACTTTGCACTGTTGGGAGATTTGAGACAATATGGGTCGTTTAAAAAAGAAGTTACCCGCAAAAGGCCTGATTGGCCATATTGCGGCCGTTTCGATCGTTCTGCATGGTCGCTGGCTCTCACTATCTGAATGTACACAATAGCTTCTGTCATTCTGGATCAATCGCTCAATTGAACCGCCGGCTTAAATACGGCATCGGCGGAAAGCCGGCCCCTCAAAGTTGGACGAATGCTGTTCAAGATTCAGTTAGCTCGGCCGGATTTAGGGCTTTCGCAGTTGATTAACCCAATAATGGCGGCTGAATTGCCTGACCTCCGTCGTATAAATGATGTATCCGCCAGGTGAAATGATCTTTTCCGCATCATGATCCCATCCGCTGCAAACGTCACGTGTGATGATCCGTTCCCTCGGCGGTAATCTACGTCCAGTGGCCGGCCGCCGCTCGCCGTCAGATAATTCCACATGTTTTCCTGAGTCGATCACAGCGGGGCTTCCTCGCGTTCTGAAGACACCAAGCGCAGCGGTTCAGTTCTTTCCTCCAATATCCCCGAAGCCACGATTTACACGCGTCTGGGTGGCCGGCTAGGTACCCTTTGCTCGGGTGGGGGGTTCAATTTGGCCCCCTTCTGAGATCTCGGGAACTAAGAAAGCTAGAAACACCAAATTTGCAAGGTGTCTTAACCTCTACGTGAACTCACTTAGGTCAAAATTTGAGCTTCCTAGGTCGTGACCTTCAGGTCAAATAAGGTCAAACAATGTCAAATCACAGGTTGTTCTCCAAAGTGCCCCCAGAACCTAGGCAACAGTTTCTTAGCAAAAGGTCTTAAGCCCGTTTGAAGTCAGTGACCTTGTTTGACCTTTTGAAGGTCATAGTGACCAAGGTCATACAACACTGCTCTGAGTTTTGCGTTTGAATAAGCGGCAAAGATAACGCCAGGCAGTATGTTCCTAAAACAAAACGTCAACCCGGGTCATCGTAGATCAATGACCTGTTCTGACCTCTAAGAAGTCAATGAAAGATGTATAGTGCGGTTCCCGCCGTCAATAAATTCAAAATGAGCACCACAAACTATCCCATATAGCAAGCCCTAGAGTAATAAATCAGGTTGGTTTTGACCTTGGTCTGATCTTCACAACTGACCTTAGGCCAACGTAATTTGCCCATTCAATATTTTTGGTGCCTAAGAAAGCATCTCAGAGATGTATGGCTTCGTTAAACACTCCTTTATTGTATCAGGTTGGACGATTCCCTAGAAACTGCCTTCGCTGAAACGATGACCTGACTTTGACCTGCCATGGGTCAGCGCCCTTACAAGGTACATCTAAATGTTTGTTGTCGAACGATCCGCTATTCAATTGCCTATAGCTGTGCAAAATTTGGCGCGGCTACGCCGTGTCGTTCGGAAGCCATTCTGGAAAAACCTTGGGGGGGTCAATTTGCCCCCCGCCCGAGCGCGTGTTAAGCGGTCCAAAGTCAACATCTCGTGGGGGTGGGGATGGCGGGCTTGGGGTTGGCTGGTTTGGATGCACTTGCTTCTATATGCATTCATCTCAAGTCCGTTTCATTTATCATAGCAGTTGTTTTGGAGCTTTGCCTGGGCGTAGATCAAATTTATCGATGATGATAATGCTACGATGGCGCTCGCAGTATTCTAGTAAGATCTATCATTGTCATATTTGATGACACAATATGAAATTATTGGGTTTCAAAAGGGCGTTCGGTCACCACGCGCTCACGATGGATTCTTGTACCGATTATTCATCGTATATCATGATGTTAAATGTGAACGCTCGTGCAATGATGTGTCGCAATCTATGCCCTCAGGGCTTGTTGTGCATCTGTTAAATTTTGCGGGGCAACGATGCCGTGCCCCAGTCATGAAGTGTTTGTCTTGCCCTCCCTCACTGTCACGCAGCTCTGGTCAGAAAGACAGGAGGACCAGACGAGACGCGAAGACGGCTTCATATCGAATCTAACTGGCAGGAAAGTTAGAATATTGCTTGTGAATGAGCCGTTTTCGGTATAAATCAAACGGCCTCCGCTGACCTTAAATAACGTCTCCTGGAGGCCCGCCGGCACGGTCTGCCGCATCCCCCACCAGCCGACGGCGGTGCTGCAGGCCCCGGCCATCCAGCCTGGGCGCCCGCCTGACCCATTACCCGCCGCCCCACCGCACGCCCATTACCCTCCGCCCCGCCCCAACCGCGGTCTGCTCAGAGGTGCGGCGCCGGCGGCTGTCAGCTGGCCTGTCCGCTCCGATTGCGACCGACACGGAGACGGCGGCGCTGCAGCAGAGGACGCGTCCCGGGCGTCCGGAGTGGCCGCGAGCTACCGGCGGCGGCGCTGCAGCAGAGGACGCGTCCCGGGCGTCCGGAGTGGCCGCGAGCTACCGGCGGCGGCGCTGCAGCAGAGGACGCGTCCCGAGCGGCCGGAGTGGCCGCGAGCTACCGGCGGCGGCGCCGCTGCGGGGTGGGAGCAAAGATGGGCGATCGGATCCCAGGTACACTAGCGCGGTCTGTGTGGTTCGAACTGCCGATGACCGTGGCATGATCGATCTGTTGGTCCGACTCAGGGGTCAGCGACGAAGTCTTCTGAGAATGCACTTCCTCCGGTCAAGTCATCATAACTTGCTTGGATCAGGTCCCGAGTACGGCGCACTGGTCGCGTCCAACTTCAAGACAAGCGGGAGAAAATGTACATGTTGGGAATATTTTATGTGTGCATTTTCGCTGGCACCTTTGCCACGCTGTACAAGCTGCATGCTTGCCTAGCGGCTTTGCTGTTATCACCGTCAGTGGAAGACGTGTCTGGCTCACTGGGCCAATCACGCGCGAGCTTCGGCTTCCTTCGAGTGAACGGACTACTTCCGCTTTGGGCTGCTTCCGAGTTCGTTTTTGTATCGAAGCCACACGTCCACCCACGTCTCGTGGGTGGACGCTGTGCAGCGGGGGCGGACGCCAGGCGGCTCGCGAGGGGGGGGGGGGGGGTGTTAGCGCTGTCGGTACTGACAAGATACGTCAGAAAAAAGCCCGGTCAGTGGTCATGAAATCGTGAGGGACTAGCATCCAGGTTGACACAGCCATAGCCAATCCGAGAGGGAGGCTGCGGCGCGGGTCCCCAGCTCCGAGCACGGCCGTCGGGCTGGCCGGGGCCGATCCGTCGGTGGGCGCGCCGGCTGTCCGGCCGCGAGCCAGCCCTGTCGGAAGTGGTGCGGCCGGCCCGGCTCCGTCTGAAGCGGGCCGAGCGGGCTGTTTGGACTGCGCCCTGCCGGGAGTCGGGCCATGCGGGCTGCCGACCCGCCACCGGGGCGCCCCTGACGCCTTCAAATAAATCTCGACGCGGCAAGGCATCTGGGCCGCACGTGAGACGGATCTGGACGGCGCCCGCATGCCTGGCGGCCGGCCTGGACCGCGCTGATGGCCGGGTGTGAGTTACGCCCGTGGGTGGACGCCGGGCGGCGGGAGCGGGCGCCAGGCGGCTCGCGGGGGGTGTCAGCGCCGTCGGTGCTGACAGGATACATCGGAAAAAAGAGCCCGGTCAGTGGTCATGAAATCGTGAGGGGCTGGTATTTGGGTTGACACAGCCATGGCCGAGAACGAAAGCAAGGCAGGCCTTGAGCTCCTGGCTTTTGGGCATTATGTATTGGGGTTCATATGGTGACAAGAATCCCTTCAGTAGACCAGAATGCACTGGCGTAGCGACGTTACCACGCCAGCGTTGGCGATATGGCAAAACTCGACGTCTTAAGCTGCATAGACTGTAGCGACCACTCACCACTTGATCATTGTTTACGTGGCCGTTTGAAGGCGGACTGTTGTCAGAATAAAAACTCTCAACCCATTATAGCTTGGTGTGTTTTCTTTTTCGTAGCGTAGCCAGGGGTACTTTTGGAGCCAAACGCCTCCCCCTCCCTTCTTTGGAGGTGTCTGGGACACCCTGTAGTATGTTCGGCAGCTTAAGACGCCCGAAAGGCTTCTAAAACATAAAAACGGGCCCACGAAGGATTAAAATAGGGCATGGAACCTAAAAAGTGGTCCCGATTAAAAGACAGGGTACCTCAAGCTACGAACAACCCCTTTATTGAACGGGTCCCCTGTGACCCAATTAGCGAAATTCCGGCTGCGCCACCGCTCTACCCCGTACTTAAATAGCTTGTAAGTCTGTTTACATTAAGAACACATGCTACCTTGGCGGCCAATAAAACAAATTATCTGCACGTTGCCCTCTCCGCTGCACGTTTTCACTGTAGTTCAGCGCAGGCAGAGACGGGCTGTCGCACCAAATAGCTGCGACGTGGCGTTTACCGTCGATCGCAGTTCACCAACGCAGACGTAGGCATCGCTTCAGCGGCAGACTGGTCCCTCACTGCCGCCCGAGTGTCGTCAGGGCGTCAGCTCCGGCAGCCGCGCCGGAGCTGCCGCCTGAGTGTCGTCACGCCACGTGCCGCCACCTGCCGCGCCGCTCCCGACGAGTCCCACAGCACTACGCTGTCCGCGCTCCGTGTCGTCAGCATCATGAGGAGACGCCGCGCCCGTGTCGGGGGGCGGCGTAGTACCGGCCGCCCGCCCCTCCCCGCCCCGACGTCGCCGCCAGACGACAGCTCCGGCGTGGCTGCCGGTGCGGCGCCCGGCGCCGGTCACCGACAGGGGACGCTGATCAGTCACCGGCCGTCGCCGGCAGACCCTGGGGCCGGATTGATCACGTGGGCTTGCGGGCCGCTGCGGGCGCACGCTCGTGTCGCGTCGTGAGTGCACTGCCGCCCGCAGTCATGCCATGTTCATGGCTGGTCTGCTGTTACATGTACATATTTAGACCCATCCGTGAGTGTTCCGACCCTCTGCCTGCAGATTCTGGAGCACAACAACGAGCGGCACGGCCGCGGCGTGCACGTGCTGGTGCTGCACCAGGCGAGCGGCGCCGTGATGGCGCAGCGCGCCTTCGACACGTACTCGCCGCACGAGGACGAGGCGATGACCCTCTTCATCAGCATGGTCTCCGACGGTCGCATCATCGTGCTCGTCATCAAGGTGCGCCGGCATGGGGATGAGGATGGGGAGGGGGATGGGGGGGGGGTATATCGGGCGGAGTGGCTCTGCTCAAGGACAGCGGGCACAGCGGGTGTAGCTATTGTCAGTCTTTGGTTGCGGTTTCTTGCGGTGATTCGACCCAGGTGGAAGGCCCCTCCGAAGGGGAGAATGTGCGAGCAGCTGGGTGAAGGGACGCGCAGTGGGTGTCCTTCAGGAGTGTCGGAATTACTGGTTTTTTTTTTGTTGTTTTTTGTTAGAGACCCAGTTGGGAGGCCCATCTCTGGTCAGCTGACGTGATAATAGATTGATATCAGGGATTGGCAGGGAAGGACCGTCCGCAGATGATGAGTATTAGGGGTTTCGTGGTGGAAAGGATTCCCTCTTGCGAGACCGGAGATTGGGTTTGGTAGACGTTGGCAGCCAGCGCGCCTGCTGGCAGCTCCAGTAGCCATCCGGAGCGCTGCCAACTAATCGCGGCCGGTGGCAGCAGACTGGCCGTGGCCCGCAGAGTGACTGCCAACAGCCTTTGTATACATGAACCGTGGTGGGATTGCAGCTGTGTTGGTGCTGGGCCAGCGCCGCTGCCCTCGGGTGAGGACCAGCTCCCGCTCCCGCCCCTGTTTAAAACTCATGGCTTCCCTGGCTTCCCTCTCCGGGGATGCACAGCGTCCATTGCAAATGTCCTGCAGCGTATCCATCAAAAACGCCCCGAGAGTGCCTGATTGGGTGGCAGGAAATCGAACCATAAACAAGTTACTATCTCTGGTCGTTTGTTGTTTACCGCAACGCCCCTTGACCCCTCATTGCGGGCCAGCAGGCACAAGTTCCCGCAAGTCGGCTGACGACAGCGACTCCTCCCCGCGCCCATGGAGCCGCGGCTGTTCCACCGCGCGCCCCGGCCGCCAGGCGGACAGGGTGGAGGCGCCTGGCCATCGGCTCACGCTCCCCGACGCCCGCAGGACGAGGGCACGTTCCAGCTGAAGCAGCCGGCACGTGAGCTGCTGACGCGGCTGGGCTCGCAGGCGGCTGCCGACCTCGCCTGGCGCGACATGTGGGCGATGGTGGTCATCAAGGGCGGCAAGGTGCTCGGCGAGAGCCACAGCAAAAGCCCCGGCTTCAACGCTTGGGGTCCGGCCGTGCTCGTGCGCGCCGAGGTGCCCCTCGTGCCCACGGAGGGTGAGTGTGTTCTGTGACGGAGCCGGTCTGAGACGGCGAGAACTGGGCGTAGTCTCTGGTGGGATACGGGGAAAGGCCATATGGGGTAAAGGTTACGTGTCGTTCTAATAGCGGTTGTTGTTTTGAAGAGATGGACGCTTGTGATGAAAATATGAGCCCGTAGCAAAGGGTAAGCATGTACTTTCGTTAGCGCTTTCAATCTTCCATTGGTATGCCAACTTCCATTCCATGGATCTAGAACTGAAGATAAAGGAACAGGGACATGGAACAGAGCAAATGGAATAGAGACGCCTGGTACTGGAGCAGCGAGGTGCCTTTGCGTGACGCGCAGACGGGCTTCCGCAGACACCGAGTGCGCCTGGCCGGACTC